GGCTACGACAGAGTCCACAGTAAAAGTTTAAAAACAACACTTCCCGTTACCAGGGAGCAGGATGGAGTCAGTTTAATCATGCAGTTCCAGGATGTCCTGCATATGTATCTTTCAGTTATAGTTGTTACTGCCAAGAGCATCTTGTAATGTGGTTGCAGACTAGATTCTATATGGAGTACCTTAAGGTCCGTCCCATACCCTGCCAACCAAACAGCCAGTGCTATTTTTATAGAGTCAGGCAGCCTGTAATTTCTATGACTGTTATTTAGAATGAGTTGGCAAGTTCAAACCAGACTTTATGTACATCCCTGGCATTGTCAGTAAAGCTTAGAAGTTGAGAAGTTACATTTTCTCAAATACATAAATGTGTTTTTCTTTTTCTCTTCTTTTTCCTTTTCTTTCTTTTTCTTTTTTTTCAGCATCTGCGTGATATATTTGTGAGACTACGAAAGGATATGTTAGACCTATTTCTTAGGTTCCAATCAACCAAGGGTCATTTTTATTAAGTGATTCTCCACTCTTAATTAGATTCCGAGATTTGAAATTGCTTATCTTGTCTTCAAAGGGCTAAGATGGGATATATTTAGAACTTCTTTTTATATGATTTAATAAAGCATGCCTGTCTATCAAAGCACCTATTCTATTGGTATGAATAGATATTTTCATTCTGATTATTTTCACTCGCAAGTATCCAGGATAGACAAGACTATTGATCCTCAGTTCCCTCTACTCCCTCAGTCAGAATCCCTAACCTGAAAGGAGCCTTACTGAGATCATCCTCTTCAATTTGCAAATGAAGAAATTCAGACTCAGGGAAATTAGCTGACTTTTCCCTGCCCAAGTTTGCATAGCTGGTTAATGAGAGAACTAGAGCTAAAACCCCTATCGCTTGTGTCTCCTTCTTTTATTTTTCTCCTTTTATTTAGAAACCAAAATCTTCTTGCTGAACTGCTGAAAACAGAAATAACTGTTTGTTCCCTAAACTAGGAGACAGAGGTCCCAATCTAGATTTTTTAAGATCTGCTCTACTAATACAGAAATGCATTTTATTACATTCAAAAGAGAGAACACATTAATAGTAAATCCCCTGCTTCGGTGCCCACTCTGTACATGTACCACCCCCATATGCATGCTCTTTTCCAAAAACCATGGAAATAAGTAACTCACCAATCAAGGCAATTATCCAGGTAAAAAACGTATTTTAGCTGATAAATACAAAAAAGATGTATCCTTTTGAGAAATTTTGGTCATGTGACTTAGAAGAATTTCAATGTAAATGTCTCTTTGTTTTGTATTCTTCTCTGGTGTTAAAATGAATATTCTAAAAAGGACAGAAAAGCATATTTCATCAAAATGTTTGGTTCTATTATTTTATGCAAAGAAAATCTAAGCTTCACGTGATCTTATTAAGCATATGAAAATACATCAGATTACTCCTTTACTGAAAATAAAATTCTTTCTAAATATAAATATTCACTTTTTTTAACAATTACCAAAAATCTTTTAAAGCATACATTTTATTTTATAGCCACATATGTATTATTTTTAAAAAAACTTTATTTGTTTCGTTTTGTTTTTTGAGAGAGACTTTTACATGCTCACCAGAGAGACAGAGAGAAATAGAGACAGAAAGCGAGAAATCACAGTCCCCCCCTCCCCCCCAGGAGAATGACCGTACCACAGTCCCTTCTCCTCTATTTCCTCTCAGGATTTTGGGCACACGTGCACATGCTTCCGGCATGAGTTTCAAGCCACTGGGTCCGGGACTTGGAACTGTGGTTGACCAGGTGGGAATCCAGTAACATAACCATTACACCTATTTTTAGAAAACTTTTTAAACTGTTAATCATTTTTTGCCTTAACTGATAGATTAAATGACAAATCAGTGATTCCCTTTTTAGAGATCTGAGGACAGCCTTTTAAAAATTTTGCTGTTTAGTACTTTATCATTACTGTATTTGCTTTGACAAGTTACTTTGTTCAAAAGTTGCTTCAAATAAAGGGGAATCTGAACATAGAAGGATTCCATTAGAAGTCAGAGTAAATCTCCCTTGGGGGGGTAGTGACTGAAAGTTGTCTCAACAGAGCTTCTGTGTGTTGGTCATACTCTGCCCCTGGGTACTGCTTACAAGGCATATTCAGACCCGAGTAACTCCATACATCTCCTCAGTTCCCTCTACTCCCTCAGTCAGAATCCCTAACCTGAAAGGAGCCTTACTGAGATCATCCTCTTCAATTTGCAAATGAAGAAATTCAGACTCAGGGAAATTAGCTGACTTTTCCCTGCCCAAGTTTGCATAGCTGGTTAATGAGAGAACTAGAGCTAAAACCCCTATCGCTTGTGTCTCCTTCTTTTATTTTTCTCCTTTTATTTAGAAACCAAAATCTTCTTGCTGAACTGCTGAAAACAGAAATAACTGTTTGTTCCCTAAACTAGGAGACAGAGGTCCCAATCTAGATTTTTTAAGATCTGCTCTACTAATACAGAAATGCATTTTATTACATTCAAAAGAGAGAACACATTAATAGTAAATCCCCTGCTTCGGTGCCCACTCTGTACATGTACCACCCCCATATGCATGCTCTTTTCCAAAAACCATGGAAATAAGTAACTCACCAATCAAGGCAATTATCCAGGTAAAAAACGTATTTTAGCTGATAAATACAAAAAAGATGTATCCTTTTGAGAAATTTTGGTCATGTGACTTAGAAGAATTTCAATGTAAATGTCTCTTTGTTTTGTATTCTTCTCTGGTGTTAAAATGAATATTCTAAAAAGGACAGAAAAGCATATTTCATCAAAATGTTTGGTTCTATTATTTTATGCAAAGAAAATCTAAGCTTCACGTGATCTTATTAAGCATATGAAAATACATCAGATTACTCCTTTACTGAAAATAAAATTCTTTCTAAATATAAATATTCACTTTTTTTAACAATTACCAAAAATCTTTTAAAGCATACATTTTATTTTATAGCCACATATGTATTATTTTTAAAAAAACTTTATTTGTTTCGTTTTGTTTTTTGAGAGAGACTTTTACATGCTCACCAGAGAGACAGAGAGAAATAGAGACAGAAAGCGAGAAATCACAGTCCCCCCTCCCCCCCAGGAGAATGACCGTACCACAGTCCCTTCTCCTCTATTTCCTCTCAGGATTTTGGGCACACGTGCACATGCTTCCGGCATGAGTTTCAAGCCACTGGGTCCGGGACTTGGAACTGTGGTTGACCAGGTGGGAATCCAGTAACATAACCATTACACCTATTTTTAGAAAACTTTTTAAACTGTTAATCATTTTTTGCCTTAACTGATAGATTAAATGACAAATCAGTGATTCCCTTTTTAGAGATCTGAGGACAGCCTTTTAAAAATTTTGCTGTTTAGTACTTTATCATTACTGTATTTGCTTTGACAAGTTACTTTGTTCAAAAGTTGCTTCAAATAAAGGGGAATCTGAACATAGAAGGATTCCATTAGAAGTCAGAGTAAATCTCCCTTGGGGGGGTAGTGACTGAAAGTTGTCTCAACAGAGCTTCTGTGTGTTGGTCATACTCTGCCCCTGGGTACTGCTTACAAGGCATATTCAGACCCGAGTAACTCCATACATCAATGCAAAGTGAAAAGCATTAAGATGCCAAAGTGAACTAATGATATCAGATACTGTATATGATTTGATTCCACATATACAAGAATAGAATGGAAAAATTGATATATCGCTCAAATAGGTTTTTAAATTTTGCCAGAGAGTGCATTGCTTCCCAGAGATTGACAAAGAGGGAAGGGAAGAGAGAGGAGAAAGTACTTGTTGGAGGGGAATGGTTACACCACGATCGCTTCTCCTTCATTTCTCCATCCCGTGGGCTTTTAGGCATACATACGTTCATGGATGGAACTTGAACCCTGTGGTTGGCCGTGTGGGATCCAACTCCTGTTGCATGAGGGCACGAGACTAGACTATTCAAACTTTTTTAAAAGCCTTTTTGGGGGACCAGAGGGTGGCACAATGCTAAAATGTGATGCTCTGCAAGGCGGATTCAAATGTGTCTGAAGACCTCCCCCTATAAACCATGTACTCTCATGGTGGTGATCTGGGCTGGCTGGGAGTGGATTGCAGCATCTCTATCTCTGTTTCTTTCCTTCTTATACTCTACCAGGAACTTAAATGTTAAATTACTAAATATTTCACTAAACCAAGGGAAAAACTACATCAGTTAGAGTTGTCACTAAGGTAAAAATGGAATAGGACGTTACCTTCTGAGTTTCCAAAATATGAAAACTCTTTTATCTTAAGAATATCGTAGGCATGGTGGTTGAGGCAGCAGGATCCCATATGACTGACCCTGCTGAATGAATCCTGGAACCAGTAGCATGAGAAACATGGTGGGGTTGTGCATGAGTGCCAAAATCTTGACAGGATGGAAAGGGGAGGGAAAAAGGATTGTATCATGACTGTTCCCCATGAGGAAGTGCTTTGGCAAATTATATATATATATATATATATATATATATTACATACACACACACACACACACACACATTTATTCTAAACATGATTTCATAGACTGTGTTTTTGTTTGTTTGTTTTGTTTTGTTTTGTTTTGAGAGGTTTTTGCTATAGGGCATGTGCACTCGCCAGAAAGACAGAGACAAAGAGACAGAAAGCAAGAAATCACCCCCCAGGGGGGATGGCCACGCCACATTCCCTTCTCCTCCCTTCTCCTTTTGGGATCTCGGGCATGCATGCACATGCTCCTGGCGTGAGTTTAAGCCACCAGGTCCAGGACACGAACCGCCGTCGACTACATGGGAGTTCAGCGACATAGCCATTATGCTAACTACTGGTCCCTAGACTGTGTTTTAATAAAATTAACCATAATTTACTTCTAAGTAAAGTGTTCTCCAAATTGATTTATATGATTGATAATAGATGACTCATTTTTTTCCCTATGAGTTGGAAACAAGAAAAACTGTTTACTTTCCAAATTATCCTTGACAGGTTGCCTCTTCCAGAGCAGACATTCATGGGCTACTGGACAATTGGCCAGGCAAGAAATGGAATGCAAAAACTCCTATGTCCAGTAGAAACTCATCATATAGACATAAAGGTTGGTATCTTGATCATTTCTTTTTAAAATATTTACTGACACAAATTTATCTGTATTGTCTTTAGAGAAAGTTCATACAACTTTAGATAGGACTTGTTCTGATGTTATTTTAGCTTTTGCCCTAACTTTCAAATCAGCTTAGCTTCTGAAGCTCTCAAGGTAGGCAATTTCTTACAGCCAGATAAAATTTCTAAAAGTTAATCTGTATTTCAAGAAGCTCAGGTACGTTGTATATTTTCCTAGGATGGTGATATTTGTCTTTGTGTTTGCTAACAAGATGAAAACTTGGTGTGTTTTGAATATTCAGCCTCTTTTAGCCACATATTATTGATAGGCTCTGTCTTTACATAAAAAAGTATAGCAAAGGAGTATCAATCACTAGTTGAAAAATCAGTGTAGGTATTTCATGCAGAAAAAGATCTACTGTGAGATATTGAGTGCTTGTAATATTGTTGGAAAGGGCAGGAGAAACAGAAATCAGAGGGGCAACACCAGATGTGTAGTTTCAAGATCAGTATTCTTCTGCTACCCTCCTTTCTGTAAGAGGCTAAATAGTAAGTATTTTAGGGTTTGTGGCCATACAGATGCCATAGCAACTATTCAACTCTGCCGTCATTGTGCAAAAGCAGCCATGGCAATACGCAGACAAATAGATAGGTGTGGCTGTGTTCCACTCAGATTTTACTTACAGCAACAGGCAGTGGATCAGATAGCCTGCAAGCTGGCTTGTCAGCCTCTGCAGCAGAGCATAGAATCTGACTGCTCGCATTTGTCAGAGCTGCCTTGTCTTCTATTGCTGCAAGAAGATGGCCACTACCTCTCTTAGGCCTGCCACCTCTCATGCAGGTGCATCTAGTTGTCAAAACCTAAATCACTCCCAGAATCCTTTCTCAAAGAGGTGTGAAGAGAGCAATTTTTAGTTTTCTAAATATTTCACCAAATCAAGAAAAAAATATGTAAACTTTAATTATAGTTGTCATTAAGGTAAAAACGGAATAGGACCTTACCTTCTGAGTTTCTGAAATGTGAAATCTCTTTCATCTTAAAGAATATCCTAGGCATGGTGGTTGAGGCAGCAGGATCCCATATGACTGACCCAGCTGTATGAATCCTGGAACCAGTAGCTTGAAAAACATGGTGGATTTTGTGCATGAGTGCCAAAATCTTGACAGGATGCAAAGGGGAGGAAAAAGGATTGTATCATGAATGTTCCCCATGGGGGAGTGCTTTCTCCCTGTCCTTCTCATTCTCTAACTTTCCCTCTGACTCATGCCCTGTGGAAAATTAAAACTGTATAAATATGTGTGCGTATGTGTGTATGTATACATATACATTTATTCTAAACATGATTTTATAGACTGTTTTTTAGTAAAGTGAGCCATAATTCACTATTTTTTAATTTCAATTTCTTTTATATATTCAGTCATGTTATTTAGCTTGCAACGTGAATATTCCAACATGTGTACATTTGTCACCTGTCCAGTTGACAGTACTATAAAGTTGTCTGCAACAGATGATAACCCATTTCTTTGTCCCATAAATGCTTTGCCTCTCTATTTTTCTCCTTAATGTTCTTTACTTATAAGTAAAGTGTGAGCTACAGACTGGATAGAAGGGATGGGGGGCGGGTAAGTATATGTGGATGCCACTGTCTGGCCCAAACTTTTTTGATGAAGGGTTTGGGGGATACAGATCATTGAAATTTTAGTTACATTTGTAGAGGTTTTCCAGGAAGTCATGTTTATATTGGATACTTATCAATATAAATGGTGAAATACTCTACCTTTCCTAAATAACACTAGTGGTTATTAGTAAACACTAGTGGTTATTGGTAGTGTTTTTTTCTGGGTTTTTTTTGTTTGTTTTTTAAGTCACAGAGTCAGCTGGTGGCATGGTAGTCAGGGTGGCTGGATTCCATATGATCGATTGCATGCTGCAAGTCGTGGACCTGGCTGCTTGAAAATCACACAAGGTTCATGTGTATATGTCCACAATGCTAAGAGGAGAATGGAAGAGAAGATATTGCAGTGTGGTCATTCCTTCTGAGAGGCGATTTCTCACTTTCTCTCTCTTTCGGGTGTGGTGGCGTCCACCCTATGGCAAAATCCTATGGAGGCTGGAGGATTGCGGCATCGAGTCCATCTCACTTTCTCTCTCTTTCTCTCTCACAAACATGTGCACCTTCTAAGTGAATTTAAAACATAAGTAAATAAATAAATAATAAAAGTTTAAAACAAAAAAGCACTTTTCCTTATATTTTAGCCATTAATATTTCTGTATAATGATATAAAAATCATTCACAATGGAATTATAAGGTGAGTTCAGAAAGTTTGTGGGAAAATGGAATTAAAATACAAGCTTATTTTAGTGCAAAAAAAAAACAAAAGAAAAAGAAAAAGAAGAAATCTATGCCTAGTTTTTCAGAAGACACATTTTTCCATGAACACTTTGTGAAGTCCCCTCTATATATCAGGCCAACGTTCATTCATTTACAAATCATTGTCCAGATTTTTACGACTCTGGGTCCTGAGGAGTTGCCACTGACTCTTGGCTTAGGAAAGAATGAAGAAATGAAAGATTCTATGGGATTTTACATCTGGTATATTTCATCAGTAAAAAGAAAGTGAGAAATTAAATAAGACAGCACATGTGAAAGCATTTATAAATACAAGTATATGGTATTATCATTGTTATCAGTACAACGCCAGACAATGAAATGAGAAGACATATGTGAGAATGTTGAATCCTTAAATTGAATTCTTTATTTTAGCTTTTCTACACTTTGATAACAGCCAGATTTCTTCACTGAGATAACTACTTTATTATAGGGTCCAGCACCTATAAATATACAGGAGTATCCAATAGAAAGAAATGAAGAAAGATCCCTAAACTTTACTGAAGAATGTGTCTCCTGGAGGTTACCCCTGGATGAAATTAACTTAATCTGTGACGTTGCTACATCTCAGGGTATGTTATTTATTCTTTTGATCTCTCCTTTCTACATTGATTTTTCTTTGTTTTTTTATTTGTTTTTGTTTTTGTTTTTTTTTTAAGACAGATGAAAATAACCCCTAGACATCAAGAAGCCTATGATAGACTTTGTGACTGTCATCCTTGGATTGGATGGCAATTATATGTAATTTAGAACTAATTTCCTCTAACAACCTAACAAAATGCTATTGTGGAATCCACATAAGCACTGCTGACTTTGTATGCCTGTCTGTTTCTCATTACAATTGTAGCACAAAGTTAAACACACCCAGGCATGTGCTAAAAATAGAAGGGAAACAGAAAAAAAAGAGAAACATTGGACTTTTTTGGCTGGGATTCCACTTTGGTGATTACATGAACCCCGAAAGCAGGGCCGAAGTGATTTGTAGTCATTAAACTTATCATTGTAAAGAATGGCAAATAAAGGATGTGAAGTTTTGGCATCTACAGTTCTGGACTGTTGCCATTCCCTACTGATTCATGCAGCCAGAGGGCTCTGGGTGCCTTTTGGCAGAAATTCCTCAACTGATTGCAGTTACTAAGAGGATATAAACGAGAGTGGTGGCTGGGGGAAAGGAGAATCTCTAACTTGACCAACATGAGAGCTGTTGAGGCAAAAATCAGTGTCTTGTTTTTGTGCCTATAAGTTCTGTGAATATTGTTTATTTCCTAAATCAGCTATTTTTTAATAAAAATAAGTGCTTTGAAACTTTTACAAGTTTCATTTTTGGGTAAGAGATTGCTGCTCTTATTAAGATATTTTATATTTTGCTATGGAGATAATATCGATTTTATGGATGAAGTTCAAAGTTGCGCCCTTGTCTCATATTAAGGGATCATAAATAAGTGTACTGTGATCCTTTGCCCATGCCTAAGACAGGCATGATGAATTAGCTGCAGTACTTTTCTCATTAAACCTGGTCAGTATCTCAGTTCTTCTCAGCCCACGATTCCAGGTAGCCACTGTCAGTAAGTCAGAGTTGGTCCTGAAAAAAATGAAACTCATTTGCTGTCCCGGATAGAATTTAACCTTCTATTTCAGTATTGGCCACATTGCAATACTGTGTTTTTTGGTTTTGTTTTGTTTTTTTAACCTATCCTGCATTTGCAAAGATTTATTGGCTTAGAATTAGGGTTAACTACATATTTACATGTTTAAGCCAAAGACTAAACTGCACTTAATGTCTGCAGTAAAAGAGAACAATTAATAAACGTATTAAGTGTATTTCTATTAAGAGTTTTACTGTATTTCTGGAGTAAGAGAAGGCACTCAATAAATGTTGAATTTAACTTTCTTGTGTTGATAATGGAAGCCTTAAAAAAGATCCATAAAGTAGCATAAATTCTTTGGGGACCAGCAGTTAGCGTAATGGCTAGGTTGCTGGACTCCCATGTAGTCGACCACGTTTCGAGTCCCGGACCTGGTGGCTTAAACTCACGCCAGGCGCGTATGCATGCGTGCCCAAGATCCCGAGGAAAGAATGGAGAAGAAGGGATTGCGGGAAGGGATTATTTATAGCAATAAAACCTAAAGATCTAGTAATTCTTTGGGGACCAGCAGTTAGCGTAATGGCTAGGTTGCTGGACTCCCATGTAGTCGACCACGTTTCGAGTCCCGGACCTGGTGGCTTAAACTCACGCCAGGCGCGTATGCATGCGTGCCCAAGATCCCGAGGAAAGAATGGAGAAGAAGGGATTGCGGGAAGGGATTATTTATAGCAATAAAACCTAAAGATCTAGTAACCATCTAGAAAATGCAGGATTCAGGACCAGTAGTTGGCATAATGGCTATGTCACTGGACTCCCATGTAGTCGACCGCAGTTTGAGTCCCAGACTTAAACTCACACTGGGCACATGTGCGTACGTGCCCAAGATCTCTAGAGGAGAATGGAAGAGAAGGGATTGCAGAGTGACCATACCCCCTGGGGGGGTGATTTCTTGCTTTCCGTCTCTCTGTCTCTCTCTGTCTTTCTGGGATCCCATGCGCCCTCTAGTAAAAACCTCTCTGAAAGAAAGAAAGAAAGAAAGAAAGAAAGAAAGAAAGAAAGAAAGAAAGAAAGAAAGAAAGAAGAAAAGAAAAAAGAAAAGAAAAGAAAAGAAAAGAAAATGCAGGATTCATATGTAGATGTTGACAACTGTTTTCTGGAAATAGACCTCCACTGAAGCACAAAGCACTTTATTATCATACAAGGATTTCCTGGCATTGAGGATTATTAAATAGTTAATCCAGTTATCATGAGATTGCAGCATTCTTCTTATTTCCTCAAATAGATAGGTGTAGCTCCATGTACATTTAAGGTAGGAACTACATAGCTTCATGTGGCCTTTCCAGTCCAGTCATTCCATCTACCTGTATGCTGAGTTCCACCTTTGTGCTCAACTTTATAATTTAATTTTCTCTTGACTAGTCAAAACATGTGTTGCAAAACACACAATTAACACCTTTTTGTCATTTCAGAAAATCATGAAAATGCTCTGTATGTAGTCACGTGCAATCCTGTTTCCTTATACTTTATGAATATGACTGGGAAAAGTGGCTATTTCGTGGACTTGTTTGACATCTTCCCAAGAACAGCCAGTGGAGTTTGGCACCCATTTGTGACAGTGGCACCTCTGAAGAGTCCCCTGAAGGGTCAAGTGATTCTCCATGAGCAGCAGGTAATGCACACTGGGCTATTCACAATGCTGCTGTTATATGAAGAGTAATTGTGGGGGCCAATAGGTGGCATGGTGATTAAGGTGCTGGATTCCCACGTGGCCAACCATGGTTCAAATCCTGGACCTGGTAGCTTGCTTTCTCACTTTCCCTTTCTCTACTCTGTCTGTCTCTGGTGAGCATGTGTGCCCTATGGTAAATTTTAAAAAAATAATAAATAAAATTAAATAATTATTTTTAAAAAGAGTAAGTTATGTGAAGAAAAAGGCAAGAGTGATTAACAACTTATAAATGAAAATATGTGTTTTCATAAAGATAGAAGGAAGTAACTTGATGGACAGGTCAGGAGTTATATTTTATCAATGCCACAAAGGCAGGGAAATATCTTCCTGTCTGCAGAGACTTTAACATGAACTGTTAAGTCTGGAAACAGATTAAGTTAGGGTTTCTCAACCTCAATACTATTGATATTTGGAGTCAGACAATTGTCGTGAAGCTTGCACTCTCTTTGGGGAGACAGGAAACAAAGAAGTGAACTAACAAATAAACGTATAATTTCAGGTAGTAGTAAGTGCTAGACAGAAAGAAGGTAATGTCTGAAGGACTGAGTGATGGGAAGGGGTAGAGAGAATTGGGAAGGTAAGCTATATTAAAAAGAGTGTTGGAATATATCTCTTCTAAGGAGATGACATTTTATCTGGGACCTAAAAGGAATTCTTCACATAGAGATACCCATGTAATTACACTGAAATCCTTTGGTATCTCATGATAATCAAGTGCCATCCACCACTGCTACGGATTAGTGCACTAAGATTGTACCAATTAAACATATAGATTCCCAGAGGTAAGCCAGAAAAATAATTTCAAATGGAAGATATAGATGCAAAGACAGGCTGAGTTTCAATTAGTGAGAACTCTGAAGGTCTAAGTTAATTAGTACCATACCATTAGAAGAGAGTCTAACATTTCTGTATACCTATTGTCTGTCTAGTGTCTACCAAATATGTGAGGCATGTTTTTCAGTCAACAAATATTTATCATACACTTACTATTAGGAATACCATAGTGAACAAAAACAAAAAAATTCTAATCCTCAAAAGTTTGCATTCTGACGGTCAGCAGATGGCATGGTAGTTAAGTTGCTGGACTCCTACATGGCCGACCACAGATTGAGACTTGCACCTGGCAGCTTGAAAACCACACTGAGTGAGTGTGTGTGCATGCCTAAAATCCCAGGAGGAGAATGAAGAAGAAGGGGTTGCAGCGTGGCTCTCCCCACTGGGGGTGATTTCTCACTCTCTCTGTCTCTCTCACTATCTCTCTCTGACTCTCTGGTGAGCACACATGCCTTATGACAGAAACCTTAAAAAAAAGCTGATACTCTGGTGTAGGAAAACAGGCAATTAAATTATATTTTAGAAAATAAGAGTTAAGAGAAAGTAAGATTGCAATTTAAAATAATGGGAGCAGGGATTACTTAACCAAAATGGTGATATTTAAACTAAGATCTTATAGAGATGATGAGAAGAATGGGTATCTGGAAGCAGAGAATTCTGTGCAAAGGGATTAATAAATTCAAAGCTCAAAGGCTGGAACATGCTGAACATACCTCTTCATCTTTATTTATTTATTTAGGGAGATTTTTGCTATAGGGCATGTGCACATGCTGGAAAGACAGAGAGATAGAAAGTGAGAAATCACCCCTGAGTGGGATGGCCATGCAGCAATCCCTTCTCCTCTATTTTCCTCTCAGGATTTTAGGTATGCATGCACACACACACCCAGCATGAGTTCTAAGCCACCTGGTTCAGTACTCAAACCATGGTCAACTACGTGGGAGTCCAGTCATGTAAATATTACGCCATCTGCTGATCCCCCTCTTCACTTTAAAGAAGCAGGGTGAAGACTGAATGAAGGTGAAAATATGAAGAGGTGAAATAAAGATGGTCCTCAGTGGATTGGGGTAGGGATGAGATAGAGGGAGCAGTGGGATGCAGGGTTGTATGGAGCCTTGTAGGCCACTGAAGGTTCTGGGCCCTCACTATGAGGAAAAGGGGAAGGCATAAGAAAATTTTGAGCAGAGCAGCAGTATCATCTGACATATTAGAGGATATCTCTGGTCACTTTGTAGATGCTAACTAAGAATGAAGAAAAATAGATTTTTGCAGTCATCCAGGCAGGAGGTGATGGTGGTTGGAGAAGGGTGGAGATCATAAGTAATGGTAGAATCTGGGTATATTTTGACGGTAGAACCAGCAGGATTTCCTAACAGATCAGATGTATAGGGTGAGAAAGAGTAGAGCTAAGGGCATCTTCAAGATTTAGGGCCTGAGCAATTTAGATGGATGGAGTTGTCATCAACTGAGATGACTGTGAAAGAATCAGTTTGGGAGGGAAAGTCAGATGATATGTGATTAAATTTGAGAGGCATCCTCGTAGATGATAAGATTAGTTCAATGGTTCAATGGAAAGGTCAGGCCAGGCAATATAAATTTAGGAGTCGTTGGCATTTAAATGTTATTTAAAGCCCTGAGATTGAAAGAAGTGACCAAGGGAGAGAATGTGGTGAGAAGTCCAGACATTAAATCTGCGGCAATAAAACAGTAAGAAATCAGGGAGGTGAGGAGGAATCCATAGTGAGGATTAAAAATGACTTGCCAGTGAAGTTAACAGTTAAACCAAGGAATGTGGTATTCTGGAAAGCAAGTGATAGGCCTCTGAAGCAGAGATCAGTTATTAAATAGTGACAATGTATCAACTCAGAGATTGCAGACATTATGTCCCCGTTATTTTTCTAACTGCCCAGGAATGTAGCCATTGGCCGAATTTAACATAAGGAAACTGAGGCTCAGAAAGCTTAGGCAACTTTTGCCCAGCAAAATTCAAACCAAACCTGGTTGATCCTGCCAGAATTAAATTTCACCTACTCTCTCACTTAATGAAGGTCATGGAGAAGAGTTGTCCAAAAATTAAAAAGTATTCACAATAGGAAAATATTAAAGAAATGCAGTTACTACCTGTCAAGTACATAAAGAGCAAAGTGTTACCAAGAATAATAGTTTTAGATTGTAATCCAGTGACGAGGAAAATTTTACACAAATATCATGTCAACAGTTCACTGAGGAAAAAAAACATAGTGCTTGCCTAAGTAACTACTATAAATTCAGAATTATTAAGGTTTTTTCTGGTTTTGTCTTCATATTTAACTTTCACTTTCACTTAGAAGCATGATTTATAAATATCTAAATATTAGTTATAGAAGTTTGTGTCCAAAAAATTGGAATGAAACTTTTACTTTACAGATTTTCTATAAAATATCAATGCCATTTAATTGAATTCCTTAACCAGAACAATCTATCATAAAAATCACATGCTAGCTTGATTTGTTATTCAGTAAGTAAGCACATTTGACTGAAAACCTAAATTTGGGGTGCTTATTCAAATAGTTCTATAAAATTTTTAGCTGTTAAATTAACTGTCTAATTTACATATACAAATTCCTTAAAAGTACCGGTTTTCATGTACTTGCAAAATAACCAACAGAGTGAATTTGAAATGTATACAACAAAATGTAATGTTAAATGTTGAAGGCGGTGAATATGTTTATACATCTTTGTGGGGTACTTTTCAAAACTATACCGTACCCCACAAAGATGTATAATGATTATATGTAAATCGCAAGTTATAATTCATTAATTGATTTTTAAAAGTACCAGTGTTTAGTTTCTCCGTAAGTGTTATTTTCTCAAAAGACCCAAGTATTCGGCAGCATTGCTGACTAATACTATGTTCGATTTTCTTTCATCAAAGAAAATATGTTTTCCATTTTGTAAAGTTGTGCTTGACTTCCAGAGCCAGCACCTTGCCTCCTGGCATTCTTGTATGCTGTCTTATCTATTTGGCCTCAATTCAACATTTTTTTCAGAAAACTGCTCCAGCACCCTGAGCAAAATGCACAATTTGGCTGGATACTTCCACTCTACCTGTCCTCGGAACTGCCTCCTCTGTTCCTGGAAAGGATATCTTAGCTCTCTGTTTTATAAAGTCCTGTTAGAATATCAGACCTGTTGAATTCCATATGAACAGCACCCAACTGTGAAACCTAACAACTGACAAATTATTCTAGAGGAATAAAAAGTTACTATCCATTTACTTCGCTGCCCATTCTCTATCCTCATAATTGATTCCTCCTCATCTCCTGATTTCTTAATATTTTCTTGCCCCAGGGCGTAGTGCTTGGACTTCTCCATCCATATTTACCACCTCAGTGCCTTCTTCATTCTGCCCTAACTGAAAATTAAGCTAAAAAGAAGAGTGGAGAAATATTTCCATGAATCCATCTATCCCTGTCTTTCTTAAATAAAATTTTGGTACAGATGCATTTCCCTGATTAGCTTAAAAAGTTCAAAACCTCCTTGCTAAAATAAAATCTTAAGTGAAGAAAGGAAAACTTTGCCATGCCTAAAAATAAAGACCCTCCCCTCCCTGCACCCCCCATGAGATTATTTATTACATCTGTACAAAGTTTAGTATTTCAGACTTTGGGGCATTGAGGTCATCCGGAGGTTACTTTTCTCAAATACAAACATAATAAAATCACTTACTTGCCTCTCCTCCCCACCCCCCTTAAAGGCGTGCCAAAGCCACAGTTACATGTACTCATGTGTGACGCAAAATTCTATTTTTAAACCGAGACAGAATATATCATTAGTCATTTACAGAAGGAAACCATTAACATCTAAAAGGATGGTGCAACAGAGCTCTTTCTTGCTGCCAATTGCTTATAAAGCTAATTCTAAATACAGCAATGGCTGGAAATTATATATACACACACACAAACATGGTTTGCACACACAAACATGGTTTGACTTAAGACACAGTTTTTCTGTTCACTTATGCCACCTTATGATTATGTAAGTATTACACCCTAAAAAAGAAGAAAAATATAAAACTATTAACATTTTTTCTACTTAATAATATCTGTTTAATCATCTGCTTCTTCTACTTAATCATTTTGAGGGGATAAAGCATTACTTTTAGGACTTTCTTCTGCTTAAAAAAGTTGGTATTATTCCAAATTGCTTAAGTGCTAAGAATTCATGTTAATGTTCTACATATTTATCATACAAGAAAGATTTTTCTCCATTAAGAAAACTTCTAAAAGATCTAGTTTAGGGACCAGCAGATGACATAATGGTTACATTGCTAAACTCCCACATAGTCAACCGGTTCAAATCCTGGACCTGGTGGCTTAAAATTTCCAGGCACGTATGCCTATGTGCCTAAAATCCCAAGAGGAGAATGGATGAGACAGGATTGCAGCATGCCCATACCCCATGGTGGTGATTTCTCACTTTCTGTTTCGTTGGCAAGTGCACACACTCTATGGCAAAAATCTCTCTTTAAAAAAAAAAAAGATCTAGTTTAGAATGGAGACTAATTTTTTTAACTTAACAATGCTGATGAAAAATACATAGATTATACATAGATTGATTGGATATTAATTTTTAAAAACTAGTCCTGGCCCAGCCTCTGTGGTTCAGTTGGTAGTTGACTGAATTGCAACACTAGAAATCATTTGGCCAACTGTGGGTTTAATTCCCTGCCCAGTTGTACTGGAACATGACAGCTAGAGGGCTAGGAGAAGGGGATCATGGTGTGAAGAGACCCTATCAAGGTTGCTCCTCTCTCTCTCTTTCTCTTTCTCTCTGTCTTCCTCCTATCTTTCTCCCTTTTTCTCTCTAAGTTTAACAATCTCTCATTAATAAAAAAAAATTAAATTAAAAAAGAATATTCTAGGACTAGCAGTTGACGTAATGGCTATGTCGTTGTACTCCCATCTAGTTGCCTGCTGTTCCGAGTCCCGGACCCAGTGGCTTAAACTCACACCGGGCACATGTGCATGTGTGTGTGCCCAGGATCCCGAGAGAAGAATGGAGGAGAAGGGATTGTGGCGTGGCCATCCCTTCTGGGGGGTGATTTCTCATTTTCTGTCTCTCTGTCTCTATCTCTCTGGCAAGCGCATGCGGCCTATAGCAAAAACCTCTCAAAAAAAAAAAAAAGAAGAATATTCTAAACATATTCCTAGTGAGCAATTACATATAATAAGGAGACTGAAAAGTTCTTTGAAAAATGTAATTAAGGTATGAGTTTATTTTAGTTCTAAAATATTTTGAAATTCATGCACAATTTTTTCATAATGGACATTTTCCATGGACTGTTTGAAGACCCCTGTGTATGCAGAATGATATATTCTAGGGATGATGTTCACAAAGAAAATTAAAGCTTTGTCAACATGCTCAGAAAAGTTTTTAGTACAGCCAAGAGTATATGGTGTGAGGAAAACTATGTGGTCCAAATGCTATTTTAATTCTTAAGCACATCAATAAAATTAGCTTGAAAAATAAATTTAAACCACACTAATGAGGTGCTAGATTTGTAGGTAACTCGTTAACCTTTTTACATTTCTTTTTGTTTTTCTATCTAGATTACATATAGAGGGCAAGGGGCATGATTAATTCATCATGTTCTTCTCCTCTGTTCTTTAAATATAAGCTGTTCAATAAATATTATGGAATAAATGAACAAACATTTCACATTTTATAGTTTTCTAAATTTTTCAAAGCATATATTAATTCTTCAGGTACTTTGTGGCTGTGGGCATTTTTCCCAAAGAAAGTTCTTAAAATGAAAAGTTCATAAGGTTGGGGACAGCGGGTGGCATGGTGGTTAAGGTGCTGGACACTCCTACATGGCTGACCATGGTTCAAGTCCCAGACTGGTGGCTTGCTTCCTTGCTTCCTCCCTCTTTGTCTCTGTCTCTCTGGTCAAATTAAAATAAATGAATGAATGAAGAAATAAGATTAAATAAATAATTATTTTTTAAGGTTTAGGATAACTGGAAGAGCCCAAATTATTAAACAAAATGAACAATGAAAACTAAGAAAGGGGACTAGCAGGTGGCATGGTGATTAGAGCACTGGACACTCACACATTGCCAACCATGGTTCAAGTCCTGTACCTGATGACTTGCTTTCTCTCTCTCTCTTTCTGTGTGTGTGTGTGTGTGTGTGTGTGTGTGTGTGTATCTTGTCAAAATAAATGAATGAGTAAATAAAACTAAAAATAATTCTTTAAAAAATGAAACTAAGAAAGAAAGATAATTGCATAATTATGAGACCTAGGAAACAATTTGCCAGTGTCTTTTTGTGAATCTATTAGTCTAATCTAATATCTTTGTATTTTAACTTAAAAAGCCAATTTAGGGGGTCAGCAGGTGACATGGTGGTTAAGGCACTGAACTCACACATGACTGACTGTAGACATCTCTCTCTGTCTCTCTGACGAGATTAAAATTAAAAATAATAATTAGTTAATTAATTAATTATAGAAATAATTTTTTAAGCCAACTTCTTTGCATCCCTTGAAATAGTTCGTCTTTTCGGGCTTTCTCAATTTTTTAAAGAATTATCCATTTTATTTTATTTATTATTTTCTTCATTCAATTTGATGAGAGAGAGAAAGTCACCAGGTTCAGACTCAAACTGCAGTCAGACATGTGGGAGTCCAGCAACTTAATCACCATGTCACCTGCTAGCCTTGGGTTTCTTAATATTAAGTTCTTATTTCATGTGTTTCAATGTTTAAGGTTTCTTTCTTTTCTTGAAAAAAATGCTCATAATTACTGAGAGATAATTACTTCATTGTGTAGTTGTGATTAATAATGCTAAAGAAATCTCTTGTTTATACATTATCATAGTCCCACATATGAAAGTTCTTCAAGCTTAGTGAATTTCAAGATGGAGAAATGCTAGGTTCTCAGGGTCCTTCAGATTTTCTTGCTAACCTTTGTACCTTATATCTATTTTCTGAATTATACCAGATTTGTGTAAAGAATAAATGAGACTTAATGACAAGGTAAAAGAACTTTCCACAGAGCAGTCTGATTGTAATTTTGATAAAAGTAAAGGAACTTTTGGAAATTACCAAGCCTCTCAATTTCCTCGTTAACCATAATGAGGAAACAGAATCATAGTTAAACAGAATCATAGTTCAGCTAGCTTATATCTAGAAGGGCATGGTTTTAATCACGAATCTTCAAAGAGAATAACTTCTACATTACATAATTTGAAATATTTTCGTAAAACTACCTAAAACATTAAATTCTATATGAGGGACATTCATCAGAGTCTTTGTGGTATCTCGTGAGTATTTCAGTATTATTGTCTTGCCTTTGGATTATCACTATAACTTTTACTCTCGGGTTACTGTGAGATTGCTGCCTTTTTTTTTTTTTTTTTCTGGTAGAGAGATTTTTGGTACAGAGCATTTGCCAGAATGACAGAAAGGGAGAAATCACCCAGTAGGAATAGTCATGCCGCTATCCTTTTTCCATTCTCCTCTTGGGATTTTGGGCAAGCAAGCACACGTGCCTGGCATGAGTTTTAAGCAGCCAGGACTAGGACTCAAACCATAATCAGCTATGTAGTACTCCAGCAATGTAACCATTATACCATCTGCTGGTCTGAGACTGTTGCTTTGATAAGGGGAGTAAGTGGGGCTAGCAGGTGGTATGTATGGTGCTTAAAGCGCTGAGCTCTCACATGGCCAACTACTGTTAGAGCTTGAACCTAGTGGCTCAAAAATCAGCTGGTTCATGTGCCTGCCTGACCAACATCCCAGGAGGAGAATGGAGGAAAAGGGATTGCTGGAGGTGATTTCTCATTCCCTCTCTCTCCAGCAAGTGCTTGGGCCTTATGGCTAAAACCTGTTTTGTTTGTTTGTTTGTTTGTTTGTTTAAAAGAAAATGAAAAAGAAAAAGAAAGATCGTAAACATTTCACTGTTCTGGTTCCAGAGTAACGTCATCTTGCTGTTGGATACAACTGCCCAGGCCATTCGTCGTCTCATCATTCCTTTAGAAGAAGTCACATCTAACAAAAGTTCCTGGTGGAACAAAGAGGAAGCTGTAAGTAATACCAAATTTGCTTGGCAAATTGCCATGGATTTTCTATAGCTTTCTAACCATGAAGACACGTGTCTGCCTGCCCCTTTCAGTACCTTCAAATATTATAATGCACAAGAGAGTTATTTTATTATGCAGTTATAAGGTTAATATGACACAAGTGTATAGGTACAAATACATGTGTAATTGTTTTTGTGTACCTCATACATGAAGATTTGCCAGGACTGAACTAATAATACTAGAATGTTACAAGGTGTTGAAGTATGATGTTCATAATGAATTCCTAATGCGCAGTCAATTTAACCTGTTTTCCAGTTATGTAATTTTTTTGAATTTATATTATAAAACCGTGAGTGCAACACCTGATTGTTCCTACTAGATAATAAATGTTTTTATTCACTAACTAAATTAAACCAGTAAAAAAAGTTTAGGCCAACCCATGGGTATTTATTCTGCCATTCAGTAAAATGGATGTATAATAAGGCTTATCTTCTGCCTTGTAGGACCATATACTTGGAACTTAAAAACTTAAAAGTCCTTTTTTTTTTTTTAAGAGGTTTTTGCTATAGGACACATGCGCTCTCCAGAAAGACAGAGAGAGACAGAAATCAAGAAATCACTCCCCCACGGGAGATGGTCACACCGCAATCCCTTCTCCTCGATTCTCCTCTCGGGATCTTGGGCACACACACACACACACGCACACACGCTCCGCTTGAGTTTAAGCCACCGGGTCCAAGACTTGAACCGCGGTCGGCTACATGGGAGTTCAGCGACATAGTCATTACACTAACTGCTGGTCCCACTTAAAACTCCTTGAAAAACATTTTTTTAATGTCATAAATATGTCTAAATCTGAGATATGAATTGTTTTCTCTGTGTTGATGCTATGATGTAAATTCCAAAGTTAATCACCTGATAATATGTTTATTTCAAATAATAGTTGACATTGTTTTTGAAATTTTATTCTAAATATTTTAGTTCATAGTTCAGAGTAAATTTTTTTTTTTGAGAGGTTTTTTGCTATAGGGTGCGTGTGCTCGCCAGAAAGACAGAGAGAGACAGAGAGACAGAAAGTGAGAAATCACCCCCCCCCCCGGGGGGGATGGCCACGCCGCAATCCCTTCTCCTCCGTTCTCCTCTCAGGATCTTGGGTACACACGCACACTCGCCTGGCGTGAGTTTAAGCTACCAGGTCTGGAACTCAAACCACGGTTGACTACATGGGAGTCCAGTGATATAGCTATTACACTAACTGCTGGTCCCAGTAAATTTTGAAATATAGTTTAATCCATGTGATCTACCATAAGGGTCTTGGAATGGAAAAACAGACAGCTTCACTGAGAATTAATGTTTTACATACCAAAGAACTTTTTTTTTTAAAGGGGAAGCAGCTAAAGGGCTCACTACATCTGACACAATTAATGTGAATATTTTATTTTATTTTGTTTTTAGGAAACTTATAAAATGTGTAAAGAATTTTCGCACAAAAACTGGCTAGTATTCTACAAAGAAAATGGGTGAGCTCTTCATTAATGAATATTTAAACCAAGGCCTTTACTTTGTTCATTCGATTTCCTATATTTCCAAATATTATATTTGCTTATTAAAAATTAATGTAATCAAATTGTGAATATTTAGTATAAAAGTAACTTCCTACATTGTGGAACACTGAGAAACAGACGTAAGAAAAGGCAGTGCTCATAGCTATTACACTGCCACCAGCAACAGGGCAGCTGTTACTTTTCCTTATTCCTTCTCATGTATACCCTGACATAGTTAAAATGCTAACTATCTGTTTTCTCAATTAATATTTTTCTATGTCATTAGTCTTGAAAACATTCTTTTTAGGATTATATATCATGAAATGATTATGCCATAGTTACTCAACCATTTCCTTTCAGATACAATTCTCTTCTCCTTTTTCAGGAACAACTTGACAGTGCTAGACGTTCTAGAAGGGCGAACTCACACCATCTCACTTCCCATCAGCCTCAAGGCAGTTTTCCTTGTAGCAGAGGACAAATGGCTTCTGGTGGAGAACAAAACAAATCAGTGGGTAGAGCTATAGAGTATCTCATACAGTGCTGTAGTTCAACCCAGTATATCAGTGAGCCCGCTTTGTTACTGTTCTGTCCTTCTATGTCTTTCAGCAATTTCTGTGTTTGGCAGTATCTCTATGAGTGAGCATTACAAGAGCGGGGTGGTGGAGGGGGGAGAAAATTAAAATAAATGTCACTTAAAAATGGCCCACTACAAGATACTTCTGGCTATTTAGATATTTGTATTTTTGAGATCTTAAAAATAAGCAAATCAAAGGGACTATAGTGGTGAGGGCTTCTCCTGTGCCTTAGCTGGTCACAGATCTTACTGGCTGGTCAATGACTCATGTCTAGCAAAGGTTCCATGATAATAAAGATGTGCTCCATCAGAGTTGTTTTATTTTTATTTTTTTTAAACAATCTTTCCTCTTAAAGGAAGTGTTAAATTTTTGGTTCATGTTTACTACTGCATTGTTACCCTGCACTGCTCTTTAACATAGTTTCGAGAATGTATTAATTAATTCATAGTGAAACTCTGGAACTTCAGATTATACTCAGACTACCAAAAAAAAAAAGCCTTTGTGGGAGGACTCTTAATTTTTCTTAGTCTGGCCTTAGAATTATTAGAAGAACTTTTCACTTAAATTGTATGTTTTATTTTTTGACAGAAAATATCTTTTAACTAAGCCTGCACACATCGAATCTGAGGACAGTAGAGTTTGCCAGTTATATGTATTGAAAGAGGAACCACCTAGCACAGGGTTTGGAGTTACACAAGGTAAATACTTTGTTTTCTGTGTTTATCCCTATATGGGTGTATGTTGTACATGACTGTCTTCTAGAATCATTTAAGAATACTAACAGCAGCCTATGTTAAGTTTATACCAAAAAGATAACTTAGTAACTACACGAGAAATAGTAAATAAGACCCTGCTTTCTTTCAATCATCATAAGGAAGCTCACTCTTTTAAGCTCTCTTTGCATTTTTTTTAACTGATGAATCAGAATTTTCACATATTTTTAGGCTCCAAGTCTAACTCAGAATGGCATATTTATTTTTTTCCATAGACCATCAAGATTTCTACTTAATTATCACAGCTTTGGAGGGAATGGTACTTATAAAAAAAAATATGGGTTGGGTCAATTTTATATACATTTAGCAGGAATCTTCTCATGATAAATATTTATCATTACTAAAAATCTGAATTATTTAAATCACTTTGGGAAGATGCCTTAAATATAAAATGAACAAAAGCCCATGAGTGTGAAATGGGTTTTTTTTTCATTTTTACCTTGTTCTTTTCTGTTCGTATTGTTGAGAATGAAATCTTGTAAAAAATTAATTCCTTGATCATTTTACAGGCAGTTGGTGGCTAATGTTTTTCTGATACTTTACAGAAACAGAGTTCAGCATACCTCATAAAATTTCAATTGATCAACTGTCATCTGAAAATCTAAGTTCAGCTGTGGGACAAAAGATTGCCTCTCCCAACAGAATTCTCTCAGATGAGAGTAGTTATGCTAAAATAGTTATTGGTTTTCCAGATCTCATGGTAAGTATCAGTTTTTTAAACTATTGAATACATATTTCTTTCCTTCAATTTAGCACATGACCTCTAAACCCATCTGGAGGGTAATTTAAAATGTAATAATTTTTTGGTATATAGTTTAAATCAAGTCTGCATTCCAAATCAGCCATTAAAAAATCCATTCTACTCTGATAGTTTCGTCACTTTTTAAAAATTAACATTGAATGTATAATGCAATAATATAACTTAATAAGGATAAATGAGTAATTTTCTTATATGGAAATTCATGTGACACAGTTAAATGCATAACCTCCTGCCCTACTGTAATATTTTTATTGCTGTCTTAATGTGTGCTCATAGAATCTGCCCAGAGAAGCAGTTTGAGACTAATAAGGTAGTATGTAGTCTAGAATTATTTTAGAGCTAAATTTGTTGTGGTGTCATTATGTAGATTAAATTTTTCAACATTCATGAGCATCAATTCACTTTGTATTGAATTTTTCTCTGATTTATCATATCTTTACATATCTTTCTACTATTCCATACCGCCTTTTTGCTTTTATGTGAATTTCTTTGAGTTCTTCACAGAAGTATTAACAAAGGGTGTGTGCACTCACAGGAGTGAGAGTGAGAGAGAGACAGAAAGCAAGAAATCACCACAGGAGATGGCCACACCACAGTCCCTTCTTTTCTATTCTCCTGCCGGGATCTTGGGCACACACGCATATGTGCCTGGTGTGAGTTTTAAGTTGCCAGGTCTGGACTCAAACTGCAGTCAAACCACATGGGAGTCCAGCAACATAACCATTACACCATTTGTTTGTTCCTATATACTTACGTAACTTTCTTAACCTAATATCACCTAGCTATAAAAACCTATAGCAACTATCATGCTCAGTAGTAAAACATATAAAATGTTTCTTTCATTGTCAGGAATAAGGCAAGGATACTCACTATCACCATTTCTATTAAACATAGTACTGAGTGTTTTACACAAGACACATAAGAGAAAAAAATGATAAATTGTATTACATCAGATTTAAATTTTCAGTTCTATAGAAGACACTGTTAAAAGAGTGAAAAGACAGTCTATAAGCTGGGAGAAAATAGTTGTAAATGATGTCTCTAGAAAAGGACTTGTATCTAGTATATATAAAGATTCTTAAAACTCAGCAATAACAAAATGAACAACCCAGTTTTTTAAAAAACTATTTATTTAATTTTATTCATTATTATTATTATTATTTTTTAATTTGACCAAAGAGACAGAGCGAGCAAGAGAAGGGGAAAGTGAGAAAGCAAGCTGCCAGGTCTAGAACTCAAACCACAGACAACCATGTGGTAGTTCAGCTCCTTAACCACCATATCATCTGCTGGCCCTGAAACAACCTAATTTTTAAAAATGGACAAACAACAGGCCTGTGTAAGACATTAGGAATCAGAAACTGAGCAGAATAAGGCTAAAGTCTATGATAGGGGAGGCGTGACCCCTGCTAATGGGCATGGAGTCCAAGCAGGAGAAAGACCATGTTACTGTGACAGAGCAGCCTGACCTGGGATGTTGGAGCCCAAGTAAGGTGAGGTGGTATCCAGCCCCACGTGAACGGTTTGGCCCCAGGCTGGCTGAGCAGGGAATCTGCGCAGAGGGTAAAGTAGTGGGAGATGGGCCATTTAAAGTGGACTTGAGAGACTGATCTTTGCTAGCAAATGGTATTTCACAGAATACTTGGGCAGGGCTGAATTAAGAAGGTTTATATGTGACTAGTGTGCTGGGCATTTGCTTTTCAACAATTTGAGTGGTTGGCATGTAAATATTTTCTCAAAAATATTTAAAACCATACTGTTTCTGTTGTTATAGAGTCACAAACAAAATTATACACAATTATAAGAAATATTTTGAACATTATCTTTAAAATTCAGTATTTTGAAATTTTGAAAGTTGTTTAATAACTGTCAAGAATTATAGAGTATGAGTTAAAATATTTTTGATATGTAAAGTAAATGATTGTGGAAAAATGTAAAAAATTTAAAAATGAAAAAAGAAAGGAAGTACAATAAAGATAATAAAATAATGTATTAAAATAAGCAAAATTAGTTTCTTACCGTTGAAGATAGTGGAAGGAAGAAAACTAGGCTGACCCCTCTAGTTGTTGGATCAGAATTGGATATATTTGTGAATTCATAGTTTTAATACATAGAAATAAAATTAAAGATAAATGTGAAAAAAAGAGCAAAAGACTTAAAAACAACTTCACCAAAGAGAATATAGGTTTGAAAAACAAGTGCATGAAAAAATATTCAATAGTTCTTAGAGACATACAAATTTATGCCATGATGGGATAGGGCTACATGTCTATTAGAATGGTTAATATAAAACATACTGACAATACCAAGTGCTGACAAGGATGCAGAGCATATGCAACTCAAGGACAAACAATAACCCAGGCATCTCTGAAGAAGAACCCAAAAAAAACAAAATTTCAAAGCTTATTTTGTTTCAGTCACTATGACCATATGGTATTGGCCGATGAATAGAAAAATGTGCAGTAATCAGAATGCAGTGCCCAGAAATAGAAGCATGCATGTGTGGAACTGTGTTTTCTGATAGGATTGCAAATCAGTGGGCATAGGTTAGTGCTATTTAGACAGCTGTCCATGTGAGGAAAAGAGGAACATGGATGCCTGCCTCATATGATTCACAAAAGCAGACTCCTGAGGGGTTAAAGATTTAAATGTGAAAGGAAAAACTTTAAAACCTCTAGAGAGAGCATAGGAAACTATGACCTAGCAGAAGATATCTATACAGATGGCAAAATTTTAAAGTAAATCAGAAGGAAAAAATAACACAAAATTCCTGGGACCAGCAGTTAGCATAATGGCTATGTCGCTGGACTCCCACGTAGTCAACCACGGTTCGCATCCCAGACCCGGTGGCTTAAACTCACGCCGGGCGCGTGTGTGTGCGTTCCCAAAATCCCAAGAGGAGAATGGAGGAGAAAGGATTGCGGCGTGACCATCCCCCCTGGGGGGAGTGATTTCTCGCTTTCTATCTCTCTGTCTCTCTCTGTCTGTCTGGCAAGCGCACGCACCCTATAGCAAAAACCTCTCCAAAAATAAATAAATAAATAAATAACACAAAATTCCAGAATAGTTAAATCTAGGGGAGACAGAAAGAGATGTGGTTGGGAAGGGGTATTCTTTTTTTTGGGGGGGGGGGGAGATTTTCGCTATAGGGCGCGTGTGCTCGCCAGACAGACAGAGAGAGACATAGAGACAGAAAGCAAGAAATCACCCCCCAGGGGGGATGGCCACGGCGCAATCCCTTCTCCTCCATTCTCCTCTCGGGATCTTGGGCACGCACGCACACGCACCCGGCGTGAGTTTTAAGCCACCGGGTCCAGGAGGCGAACCGCGGTCGACTACGTGGGAGTCCAGCGACATAGCCATTCCACTAACTGCTGGTTCCCGGGAAGGGGCATTTTAAGGGCTTCAAAATCAGTTATGTTCTTTTCCTTACACTGAATAGTAGATGCAGAAGTGTTTGTTTTATTTGTAAACTAATACGTTGCTATAGTCCCTCCTTATTTAGTTATTACATATTTCAGATAAAAATTTAACTTGTATAGTTTACACTTGTCTGAAAATTATAATTATTGATGAAGCAACTTTCTCCGAACCAAATTCAAAAAGTTCAACAAATAGTTTGGTTTCTAATACCTGTAAAAATATAAGTTTACCACTGGAATCTGCTTAAAAGACTGCATTGTTAAAATTATGGTGAATGTAGTATATGGGACTTGAGTATTTTTATTTTAATCTCTCTTTTCTTTTTTTTTTTTTTCTTTCTTTAGTCACCCAGTGAAGTTTATTCTTGGAAGAGGCCATCATCTTTGCACAAACAAAGAGTCACTGACACCGCATTCTATGGAAGAGCAAAGAAAACTGGGACTCCAAAACAGAGCAATTGTGTGACTCTTATAGATACTAATCAGATAGTCAGGATTTTGCCCCCAGGAGAAGTGCCTCTAAAAGATATCTACCCAAAAGGTAAGAAATTTACTAATTCCTAATTTATCGAGGTGGTTAAGGTAGCTTGCTTTTGGTAGATTATATGTAATTTATCACTGTCATTTCATATTTATAAATATGGATCATTCTGAGAGGTCTAGAAGAAGCTGAAAAGACCTGAGTATTCAGAAAGTTCTCACTTACCTTCCGACAGCCTGCGGTTGTAGCCACCACTGGTAAAACTCATCCTCATTCACATTACAATTTGTGTAGCAACTTGACTCAGAACATTTTTTAGAAGAGCCTTTAAAAAATGTTTAGGATATTAGGCACAGAAACCAGGCCTAGCTTTTGTCTTTAACTCCTTAGAGTAAAGACCAGGGACTTGCTATGTACATTGATTCACTTACCAGTGTTCTCAAAATCAACTTATATTTATTAGTATATTACATATTAAGGGCCTGTGCTGGTCACTTCTCCTGTTATAAATTCACTTAATCTTAAGAACCCCTTCCCATTATAAGCATGCGCTCTAATTAATATATGAAGAAATTCTGACACCAAAACGTAAAAGAACTGGTCCAGGATCACCTCAGTAAAGGACAGCAGACTCCAGGTTTATAGCAAGGCCTTCTAATCCCAAGTCTAGAACTATTCTTACTGAATTGTACTATTGTTCATCATAATGGATAATTATGAGAAATTTTGATCATCAAGTCTTATTATTTTCATCATAGTGGTAGTAATATTCTATACTTTGTTTATATTCATTATATTAATGTGGACTTTATAAATTTAATGTTAAATGTATTATGATAATATATTAACATGTTTGAAAAGTTTTAGTTACATGACAATATTTCGATTTCCCCCCCACACCCATTGGACATGAATCACCATTTCCTGGGACCAGCAGTTGGCGTAATGGCTATGCTGCTGGACTCCCATGTAGCCAACTACGGTTCGAGTCTCAGACCCGGTGGCTTAAATTCGCGCCAGGCATGTGTGCATGCGTGCCCAAGATCCCGAGAAGAGAATGGAAGAGAAGGATTGCGGTGTGGCCATCTCCCCTGGGGAGTGATTTCTCACTTTCTGTCTCTCTGTCTCTCTGTCTTTCTGGCGAGTGCCCACACTCTATAGCAAAAACCTCTCCAAAAGAAAGAAAAAATAATTATCATTTCCCAAAAAAAATTTTTATGGGGACCAGCAGGTGGTTAAGACACTAGACTCCTATATGCCAACAGTGGTTCAAGTCCTAGACCTGGTGGTTTGAAAATCACAGCAGACACATATGCACGTGTGCCCAAAATCCTGAGAGAAGAAGGGGGGAGAAGGGACTGTGGTGTGGCCATCCCCCTGGGGGTGGGGGTGACTTCTCACTTTCCTTCTCTCCGTCTCTCTGGCAAGCACACTCTCCCTACGGCAAAAAAAAAAAAACAAAAAAAACCCAAAGTTAAAGTGTTTTTTATAGTGGAAGAAGCAGATGAGTACATTCAGTACAGTGTAATAAACTGTGATAGGAATATTTACAAAAAGGATACATTAAATGCAAAGGAAACACTTACAACCAAGGCTGGTGATTATGAGTTGACTTTTGAAAGATGAATGAGAGTTAGTCAAATAATGTCTCAGAAAAAGGGATCTTCTTGTGAAAGGTATAGGAGTGGGGTAGAGCATTGAGGAATTGCACGAAGTACTGTACCCGGATGGCACAGCGGTAACACAGCGCTCTGTAATGCTGGGCTCCCATGTGCTCATCCTCCGGGCTGGTTGAGGCTGGGAGTAGGTTGTGGCATGAAGACCTTGTTGGGCCTGTGACCTCCTTCTCCCTCTCTCCACTCCTCTCCCTCATTTCATGGAAGAAATAAGTAAATGAACTAAAAACAACGACGACAAAAAACAAGTTCTGAATCAGAGCTTAGTGCATCTTCATCGATTCAGAAACCTGGGGGTCACTTTAATAACCTCTTCTCCCTCATCTACCATATTGTTTAATTCATCATCAATCACTAAGTCTTTTTTGATACAACCTCACTAATATGTTTTGCATCCACTTATTTATCTCCACTTCTGTCACCAACACCCCATCCAGTGCACCACCTTCTTGTACTGGAATACTGCCATAGTCTCCTGGCAGTATTAATTCTCCCCCTCCTACCTGCTTTCCACACATCAAATAGAGTGATTTTTTTTTTAAAGAATTACTCATTTAATTTTATTTATTATTGCTGTTTTTTAATTTTACAAGAGAGAGACAGAGAGGGAGAGAGGAAAAGTGAGAAAGCAAGCCACCAGGTCTGGGACTCAAACTGCACTTGGCCATGTGGAAATCCAGTGCCTTAATCACTATACCCCCTCTGGCCCCCAGAGTGATTTTTTTTTTTTGAGAGTTTTTTTGTTTTTGTTTTGTTTTGTTTTGTTTTTTGCTATAGGGCATGTGTGCTCGCCAGACAGAGACATAGAGACAGAAAGCGAGAAATCACCCCCCAGAGGGGTTGGTCACGCCGCAATCCCTTCTCCTCCATTCTCCTCTGGGATCTTGGGCACGTACACACACGCGCCCAGCATGAGTTTTAAGCCACCGGGTCCGGGATGCAAACCGCGGTCGACTACATGGGAGTCCAGCGACATAGCCATTATGCTAACTGCTGGTTCCCATCCCAGAGTGATTTTTAAAGTGTACATTTGTTTTTATTAAGATCCAGTTTGTATATAGTAAAATTCATTCTTCTTAGTATAGTACAGTTAATTCTGTGAGTTTAACAAACATAATCAGTTTGGGAACGACTACCATAATTGATATAGAAGAATTTATTAACCATAAAAACATCTCCCATGCCACTTTGTGATTAATCCATTCACCTATGTCCAAATCTCCACTGATCTCCTTATAGATTTGCCTTTACATAATGTCATGTGAATGAAATCATACAACCTATGGTCCTTTGAGTCTGTTTTTTTTTTTTTAATTTACTATAACATAGTTGAGAATCATATTTATATTGTATATACCAACAGCTTATTTCTTTTTATTGCCAAGTTGTAGACCATTGTATGGATGTACCACAGTTTGCTTATCCATTCACAAGTTGATAGATATTTGGATTATTTCCAAGTTTTTGGTAATTATGAATAAGTTCACTGTGAGTATTTGTGCACCAGTTTATAATTGAATGTAGGTTTGTGCTTCACTTGGGTGAATATCTAGGAATGGCATTTTTGCATCATATGATAATAAAACTGCCAAGCTACTTTTCAAAGTAACAAAACCATTTAGTGTTCTTTTTTTTCTTTAGATTTTTGCCATAGGGCACATGTGCTTATCAGAGAGACAGAGAAGGAAAGAGAAGTCACCTCCCAAGGGGATTGGCCATTCCACAATCCCTTTTCCTCCACTATCTACTTGGGATTTGGGGCACACGTGCAAACATGCCACTGCATCCAGGAATCGAACTGTTGTCCACCATGTGGGGGTCCTGTACTTTATCCATGATGTCACTTCCTGGCTCCCCATTTTGTGTTCTTAACAGCAGTGAATGAGGGTTGTAGTTGCTCTGCATCCTTGCCATTACAAATTCAAATAGGCGTATAATGATATTTCATTCTGATTTTAATTTGCGTTTTCCTTAGTGCTTAAGGATATTGAGTATTTTCTCATGTGTATATTCTTTAGTGAAATATCTCTTCAGATCTTTTGCCTACTTTTTTTTTGCCTTTTGCCAGAAGACTCGTGTGCTCACTGTGGGGGAAGAGGGAGGGAAAGCAGAGAAGCACCACCTTGGGGAGATCATTCCACAATCACTTTTTCTCCATTTCTCCCTCCTTTTGGGATTTTGGGCCATGTTTTTCAAGCCATTGGTTCTAGGACTTGAACTCCTTGATCAGCAATGTGGAATCCAGTTGCCTTTGCCACCACACATGGTCTGGCCCTCATATACCTACTTTTAAATTGTATTGTTTTCTTGTTAGTCTTAAGTATTCTTTATATGTTCTAAATACAAGTCCAGTGTCAGATGTATACTTTTCCTATTTTGATGAAGAGCGAATCTCCTATGTTCTCTTCCAGAAGTTTTATAGTTTTTTTAAAGTGTGAATTTCTTCCATGAGACAGACAGAGAAAGACAGAGACAGGCATCCCCCAAAGAGTCTTCATGCCACGATCCACCCCTGGTCTTAGTTCAAGCTAGTCTAGATCATGGGGACCTAGGACTTTCCCATGTAGCTCCAGTTGTGTTACCGCTGTGCCACCACCTGGCCAGTAGATTTATAGTTTCAGATTTTACATTTAGACTTATGATCCATCTTGAGTTACTTTTTTACATGGTGCAAGGTATGGATTGTGGTATTTTGTGTTGTTCTTTTTGGCATGAAGATATCCTATTGTTCTAGTACATTTGCCTAAAAAGACTATCCATCCTGTCTCTGTTGAATTGCCTTTGGATCTCTGCTGAAAATAAATGGCTCACATATGAATGAATCTATTTCTAAATACTTGATTGTGTTCTGTGATCTCTGTGCCTATCCCTTTACTAAAAACACATTCTCTTGATTACTTTATAGCACCACTCACCATCTCACTACCACAAAATCCTAATCCTTTGGTCTCAGTTTAAATATCACTTCTTTAGAAGGTCTTGTCCTAATTTAAATTAGGTGCCCCTGTGATACTCTCTCATAGCGCTTCCTATTTAGGGAAGCGCTATGAGAGAGTATAAAATAAAATATAAAATTATATGAACATCATTTTCCCCACCACCCATATTGGTAAATCATTACTATATGTTTAAAGGGCTTATGTTCTCCCCTTCACTTTTGACAAACTACAAGTAATCTCTGTCTTGAATTTGGGTTTGATAGTTAGTATTCACAAAATAATATCTACTATTATTTTTTACTTATTTATATAAATGGCATCATACTATATATATTATTCCATAAATTGGTCTTTTTCACTGTTGAACATCATGTTTATGAGATTCATTGTTAAAGAAAAATAAAAATTTTTTTGAGAGGTTTAGCTATAGGGTGCGTGTGCTCGC